GTGTATATCTCCACCACAATGAATGTTTTTGAAAAAAGGAACTGTCCTAAATATATGACGCTGGGCGTTAACCGGTTAAATAGAGGTCCGACTGTAGTAGATGGAAAAAAGTAGCAGCATAAATATGTGTAAAATCTAATATAAATTTCTTTTGCTTGCACCTTAACTCCTTCTGGAATCACATAAGGAATACTCATAATTTTCTAGCAATGCAAAAAGAACCTTTGCATTAGTGCTAAGACAATTTTTAAAAAAATTTTAATTGTAACTTTGACTTTTAAATATCACAGGGACGCAATTCTGCAGGGACAAAATAATTGCATTATGGATGTATTAAAATTACGTTCGAAAGCCTTAAATTTCCATAATGAATTTCAAAATTGAAATAATTGTGTTATCAACCTTTCCTCAGTTGAAAAAGTTTATGAGATGGTTGTGTTAATTATAATTATAGTCGAATAATTTTTGTTTTAAAATTAGTACTAATAGTTATTAATGCAAGCCAAAGCATTATCGTTTCCCCCCCTTATTATTCGATAACAAAATAATTTTAATACCACTTTTTTAGTTTTCCCATAGCTGTCTCCTCTCGGCATCTAAGTTTCATTTAAACATTCACTTGCTGTGAAATAACTTTCTATTTATAAACAACATTTTTACGGTTAAACTTCTTTCAAGATCGAATAAAAGAGATTATTTCAGTAGTTGAACATTGCCAAATTGTTAAATATACGGCATTTTTCACTAAACTTAACCTCCCTTCACATTCTGAATGCTCAGTTTACACGCGATGAAAAAGGGTTGCCAATTTTTATTTTCGAAAAAATTATTTATTTCTTCTTTTTTCTAAAGTGTCGTAAATATTTGCAGGAAGTAAAGAGCAGGAGTGTGCCAAGGTCTTAAAGATGAATCTTGAAAAACACAAAAGCAAGTGTAAAAATTACATATTTTTTCGTTTTGTCTTTTAAACACTATTTCTAACACAGTTCTTAAAACAACAGTACGTTAGAAATGCTTGATTTAAATATTTTTAAAGTTTATTTTAATATTTAATGTACCTACCACTTTAATTTGTAAACATATTTTATTATTAATTTTATTTCTCATTATCAAGTTACATACTTCACAGTATTCCATTATATTGATTAAGAATAGCAACCCGATAGAGTGGTTGCTAGTTGTTAAACTAAAATCAAAATTTTACTTATTTATTTGTTAAATAAATTATCTCTCTAAAGTAATTAAATTTTTATTTTAACTATGACAACAATTTTATTTCTTCTTTATTTTCGAACCGTCGTTGATCAGCCCACTCGATTTTGAGTTTACGACCACCAATGTTTAACTCCGTGACCTTGTAATTTAGAACTCAATCGAGAAGAAAAGGGAACTCCTGGATCAAATATTGGGAGAAATTTGCTTTGCTGGAGGATTTCTTCATCGAAGTAATCAGCATTTGCGTTACAAGGTGAGGAAAACTACGAAAACCTTTCATGGTTAGGTTCAGCAGTTTTAGCTTGGTTAGCCCATCGGCTAAGAGACTGTAACCCATAATCCGTCTACCACTGAGTATATTTTACGTCAGCACTGTGGTCGGTGCTGGCCAAGAGCGGAATTCGTATCGACCAGCCACCACTGGGATTTGAACCCGGCTCACCTCATTGGAAAGCGACGCGCTATCCCTTAAGCCACCACGGCTCTAATGCCAATGATTGGCGACATTAATGCCAAATGTTCATTTGTCTTGTGCTAATTGTTAGTAATTCTTGAAATTTATTGTTAGAATTAATTGTCTTCAATTAATTGTTAGTAATTTTTTAAATTTTGTTTTTGCCTGTAACGAAATTTCAAAAAAGTCTAACAATTATAACTTAAAGGGGTTATTTTTATAGACTAAATCGAATAGAGTATTTAAAAAAAATTCGATGCTTTCCGAAAAAGTTCGTTTTCGCGTCAAACTAAGCATATTCCGTTACAGTTACAACTAACTATTATGTATAATTTATAATTCAAAAGATTTCTTTAAGCTTTTGCTATAATTTGTTACAGAATGAAAATATGTTCTAACCGTTCTAAAGTTTCAACGGCGAACGCTCTTTTCATCCTGACTGCATATAATTATTTTTTTTTCCTAATAATATTTTTTATATTATTTCAAATTTTTTGACATGGCGTATTTGACAGATGCTCGTATTTTTGGAAAAATAATTTTTGAATATTTGAAGTGGTGCTAAATATTATGCCGTAGTATTTTTATTTTGATTATTTACATTTAATTTACAAGTTAATAATATTTTGTTATATGTTTTTTTAAATAATAATCTGGGCTTTTTTCATTACGAATTGGAAAATTATATCCTAAAGATGTCATTTGTGGGAAATTATTGCACACCTGTCAAATTTTAAGCTTTTTAAAAAAGTTCATATTCCTATACCCCCCCCCCACGAGTTGCAGGGAAATGCCGTTTCTTTCAATTTACATTGTACGCTGGTGCATCATCAAAATTTCGCCAATACCTATCCCGTTTTAGGGAAAGAATAGAGATTTTATGAAATGTGGTATTATTTGCATCAAAATATACTTAAATTACATTCATTTACAAACAAACAAAAAAAGTTCTGTGCAGGGAAAAAAATATTTTATTTAAAATATAAATGCACCATTGGCCAAATCAATGTGGACAAACCATAAAATCGAACACTATTTTTTTTTTTTTACGAAATATTCTTCATATTAATTTTATTTACATAACTTGCAAATTTAATCCATCGTAAAAACATACGTTTAATCTCAAATGGAATAATCATGAATTACAAAAAGTCGAATTTGTCAATAACAGTCTCACGTTAAGAAACTAAAGCAGTTAAAAAAAATTTCAACGGAAAGTAATTTCTCCAGTTGAATTAATAATATTTTATAAATATTTTCAAAGCCTTAAGTAGCACAAATTAGTAAAAAATATGCATCACAGTCTTAATAATAAAATATTTATTGAAAGGTGCTTTTAAGCACTTTTATTTGAAAATGAAAGGTTATATATATAGATTAAAGGACAGATTGTCAATTTAAAAGTGTGAGAAAGCGTTTCGTTTTAAATAATAAATTAAGAAAAGGATTCTTATATATATATGCAAAAATAAAATCTTCCGAAAGATACTATATAATACTATTGGAGACTATACTATAGCGTTGAATTTGAATGCTGTCTAGAGGCATCGTTGAATGATTAATAAGAATAAACTTTGAAGAAGATTTCTTTGCAGCAAATTTAAAAATCATTAAAGAGTTAATCCTTGAAATGCTCTCTCAAATCAGTGGGGAAAAATTGAAGTAAAATAAAAAACAAAGTAATCTGGCAACGGCTAAATACGTACCTAGATAGCTTTGGCCTGTCGCCATTTCCTCAGCTGGTAATGAATCTGTTTCTCAGTGAATTTCAATTTTTATTTTTCGTTCGTAAAGACCCACCTGAAAATAAACAAACGAAAGGAAATAGATGTACAGAGCATGGAAAAAGATTTTTTTTAAAAAAAAGTTACAGAAAATTGATTCCAAACAGAGATAATCCTTGGCCATAAAGTGTTCGGATCCTGAAAATTGATAAATGTACTTCAAGCGCTGGCAGCTGCTCAAAAAAAGCAAACAAGTAAAAGAGAAGTTGAAAAATTTGCCAGTTTTATTCTTTCTTAAGAAGGATCACTCCGAATCTCTTGTCAAGCAACAAGAGTGGTTGTTAATATATATATTTCGGAGCTGTAAATTCAACGGATTTATAGGTTTTAAGCAATTTAGTTACGTTGTTGAAAAAAAATAATTAATAAATTTAGATTATAGGAATTCAGGGGTATTAAGTACGCGAACTAAGTGTGGCTCAACGGAAATTTAACTGATAGCATGGCATATTGGTAAAATAAATAAATGAATCGCGCCATTAATGGTAGAAGTATAAAACTTGGTACACATGCACCGCGCATATGAAGCTTTAATTCTAGGGGGGAGATCACCTCAGATTTAACTCATAATAATAATAACGGACGTTCAGAATGACAAAATGCCATTTTTTAATTTTTTTTCATTGACGATTTTGAACAATATCTCCAAAAAAGAGACAAAATTTGATATTTTGTACTCACAGCTTTCTATTTTAATGAATATTTATGTCTCTTGAGGCAATATATGTCACCTGTTCGCTTCGCTCACCGATCCCCCCTATTACTTCTAAATCATTTTTGTTTCCTGACAAGCAGATTAGTGTATTTAGAGTATTATGTATTTATTACATTTTAATAATATATGCCATATTTAAATAATAATATATTTATTTAAACAAAGTTTTCTGGATTAATTAATGGTATGGATTAATTAATGCTAAAGTATATACACTTATTTTATAATTAGTCCAGTAATTATTTTGATAACAAAAACAAACTTGATGAAAGGGATTTTAACTCATATACAGAGACTGACTAAGGCGGAGGCATGCGGGGCAGTTTCCCCAGGCCCCTACATCACAAGGGGCTCCCAAATCGACTAGAAAGTTTACTTTACGTTTCCTTCTTCAATGAGCTTTTTTTTAAACAAAATATCAGTACAATCCGTCAGTTTTACGTGAGCTTCTTCATTTATCTATCGTATGAACACCATCTATATTTCGTAAATCATATCCTTCTAAGGCGGAATTCAGCTAAATTTTCACAATTACGATGGACAAATTTAGCCAATCAAAAGCCTGTATTTTTACGTATCGCAAAATGCGATATGTGCTTTTGGTTGGCTTAATTGAGCTATCCTAATTGCGTAAATTTAGTTGAATTCCGCCCTGAGGATATGTCATCAAGAATATGAATTTTTCGCAGCTAGATGACAAAGTTAACCCTTTTCAAGGCCGTGGTAAGTATACTTACCACGTTTTACCACTTTTAATTTAGGTTTCCATTTTTCAATAATTTCAACTTTCTTGAAGTGAGTGTGAATAAAATTGGTAACCATTTGTGTCTTTTAAAAAATATATAAAAGTTATAAAATACATAATTTCTTTTGAAGTTTGCAGCATTTAAGGAATTTATTTTATAAATAAATAAAAATAAAAATCAGTAAGTTCCTAATAGGTCGTGTTAAATATATTCACCACCAAAAAAATGGCATTTTTATAAACTAAATGAGTTTTTTTACTTTTATATCTATTACTGTTCTTAAAACAATTTCAATTCCAAAAATACTTTAATTTACCTTTACTAGAAATAAAGGGCCCGTTAAAGGGTTAACAATCGGAAAACTGGATTCGGCATGATGACATAGAATTGTCAGGAAGTCAATAAAATGAACAGAACGATACTTCCCCTGACCATTGGAGGGGGAGGGTCTTTGTAGCTATTTTAGGTTCTAGTCAATTTTCTTGTTATCTATAATTAGGAGGAAAATTTAAATAGTACCTCCTTAAAGTTTGGTTCTTCATTACTGAAGTAGTAAAGCAAAGGTGGCCCCCCAAGGAAGTTTTTGCCCCGGGCCCCAATTAACTAGCGAATAAGATAAAATATAATTTTATTAACATTAAATTTTTAACCCGGCGTTGAACAGCCAACCCAATTCTGAGTTTACGACTATCAACCTTCAACTCCGTAGCCTTGTGGTTTGAACTCAACCCAGTAGACAAGGAAACTCCCGGATCAAGCGATGAAACAAACTATCCTTTGTACTGATAAAAGTTCATTTACAGTTTCTTTTTTTTGAATTTATTTTAGTGCCAATAGGTGGCAGCTTGAGTCTTATAACTTATAATAATGACAGTAAAAATAAACCTTTTTTCTGAACTTTTAATATTTTTATATAAATGTAATAATTAAGTTTTATTGTTAAATATTTTAATTTTAACTAAGAATAGATTAATATAAACCTTTAATTTTATATACTTCACTTTTGGTTGGAAATTTAATTTGTAATATTTGTAATATTGTATGGTGGCAACACACTGGGTTGGATGATAAAATTGATGTTTTCAGAGAGTTCTGTTGATGTTCACGAGCTGAGGATGTGGTGAAAAGGCTCCTGGAAAAATTGTTGAGTATCCACATGAAGTGATAATATATTTTTTAGAATAGTGTAATACGTGCCTTTTGGTAAGGCATATTGGTTGTTATGTGGGTGATTAACGTAACCATAATATATGCCACATTAGTTAGTTAGTGCTGGTGAGAGGAAGCTCACGTCCAGCGGTCACACGTGGTAATCACTGATGTGTAGTTTGCTTGTTTGATGCTTGTCCCCTCGGACAACTATTTGGTATAATATTATATGGGGCAAGATGTTAGCCCGTGGTAATCACTGATGTGCAGTTTGCTTGTTTGATGCTAGTCCCCTCGGACAACTTTTTTTTCATATGTATTCCTAATGAATGTGTCATTTTTTGTAATTTTTAGAAATGTTTTTTTTATCAAGTCCCTTAAGGACTTAATCCTTTTTTTGAAGTAATTTTAATAAACCCAGTTATTTAACCTAATACCTTAGATAGCATGTATTTTCTTGTTGTGTGANACATGCACCACATCGGATTTCAATAAATTGTTCGATATTGATATAATCAGTGATAATTCGAATTTCAGCCCAATTACCGCCTTTTTATGCTCAGACTGCATACTATCAAAATACTATTAACTTTATCATACAACTCTACTCAAGGGGATCTCCCCAATCCAAAGATGATTTTCCCTTCAAAACTAAAGATTTACTCCTTAAGGACTTGACTTGTTGTTACAACATACTACAACTTCAAAGATATTTAGGACCTCCTAGAATACAACAAAACAGAATCGATGAATCGGTTAGTGGCGCTTCGCGCCAAACGCCGAGATAACCCCAATATCCAGCATCCAGATATTTCTGTCATGCTATACCTTTTAAAAAGCAGGCAAAAATAGTCAAATATTTGCAAAATTTACTTTGCAGTTATTTACCGTTATTTTTAATTATTTTGGCTTGTCCGGAGCAGTTGGCATCTCACTTCATTCGATTTAGCCTGTAAAAATTCGAAAATTTTAATAAAAAATTTTATGCTTCATTCGATTTAGCCTGCAAAAATTGTAAATATTTTTTGAAATTTCATTATAGGCTATAACAAAATTTCATACAAATTCTAACAATTAAGTGGAATCTAAAAAGACAAATGAACATTTGGCATTAAGAATGGAATGCTGCCAATAATTGGCATTAGAGCCGTGGTGGTTTAAGGAATAGATCGTCACCTTTCAAAGAGGTGAGCCGTGTTCGTGTTCCCAGTGATCGATACGAATTACCCACCTGGCACGCACCGACCATAGTGTTGACGTAAAATATACCCAGTGGTAGACGAATCATGGTTTACAGTCTCCTAGCCAACGGGCTAACCAAACTAAACCTGCTGAACCTAACCATGAAAGGTTTTTGTTGTTTTCCTCTCAGTGTAGCGCAAATGCGGATTTGTTCGATGAAAAAATACTCCACTACAGCAAATGTTCCCCAGTATTTGATCCAGGAGTTCCCTTTTCTTCTGGATTGAGTTCAAAATTACAAGGTCACGGAGTTAAACATTGGCGGTCGTAAACTCAAAATCGAGTGGGCTGATCAACGACGGTTAGAAAATAAAGTAAAAATAAAATTGTTGGCATTGATAGAAATGGAATTACGTGAAGCATAAATTTGGAGTCGTTCATCGTTTAAGTTTCTCTTTGCGCAAACCTACTGAATCATACAACGAAGTGAATGTGACGATGAATTTAAAAAATAAATAAAGAGTTTCAAAATTGCATATTGCTTGAACATATCAATTTGTGAGATAAATCTGATTCCAGTATGATAAAATAAAAATAAAAAGTGGTAGTAAGATTTATTTTCCATTAAACAAACAAAAAAAATCCCTTAAATAAATTAGGAAAAAAGTTTTTCCTTTGCCCTTTTTCTGACTATTAGGGCTCATTATGCGACTCTAATCTTGTCAAACACAGGGCCACCACTTCTACGTTTTTTGCAAAATATTTAATAGGGTGGTTGACAATTAAAAACTAAGGTTTAGAGCTTTTGGTAACTTTGGTAAGTTTCTGAAAAAGTGAGTTTTCTTCGATGTATTACTGAATCGTTAACAAATAAATGCATTTTACACTGCTTACTAATGTTTCTTGCTTAATTCATTGTTTCCTTTGTGACTTATTTTCTAAATTTCGATGACTTTAAAGAATTTTTGAGCTAGGTAAGTGTTATGATATAATATCTCTGATATTCAGGAATAATAATTAGTTTTTAAGGAGAAGTGGTAATTAACAGATCCACCAAAAGACTCAACTGTTTGAAACGGTAGACACTCCATCATTTGTCTATGTCACACGGCCCTTACAGCAACGTTTTAAATAAGTTTAACCTTTTGCTTATGGCTGGTACAACATGTGGACCACATATAATGGTACAACATGTAACACTGCAAGCAAATGATTACTTTTCAA